GGGGGGGGGGGGGCGCAGGTGGTGGTCCCAAAGTCATCTCATTAACATACAAAAGACAGCTTTATGGCCCTCATCACTCAGCATATTCCAAGGGTTTTAGGAGCTCTGTGCCAGAAACAGGAAAAGACCAAAGATATACCTCTTATTCTAAATCACAATATCGTAATTGCCAATCCCCTCTTGTCTGCTTGCTCAACTCCTACTATTCTTTTTTTTTTTTTGGCCATGCCTCATGGCTTGCAGGATCTTAGTTCCCCTACCAGGGACCAAACCCATACCCCCTGCAGTGGAAGGGCAGAGTCCTAACCACTGGACCACCAGGGAATTCCTTACTATTCTTTTAAGACACTAGTTAAATGTCCTGCCTCAGGAAATCCATGCTGACCTAGAACAAGGCAAACTTTGTTCCAAGTTGTTTGGGGTTCACATAAAATGGTTTGTATGTTTTCATTAGAGCTCCTTTCTGTGTTTTAGTGATATACTAATGAAACTATCTCTCTAGTAGACTAACAAATATATATGAGTGCAGGAATTTTATCTTATTCCTTGAGGTATCTAGCCCTTGGTACAGTACATAGCACCTGTTAGGTTAACCAGAATGTTTGTTGAATGAATGAATGAAGTTTTCTTATAAGATGCACCTGGGAACAGTACATTATTTTGTCTAAATCCTAAATCATGGGTTATGAACATTGGTAGACACATTTCTGTAGCCTTAAAATTAGTCAATTTAAGCTACATTAAGGACAGTAAGTTCATTTGCATGAAAAAGATTAAGTACTGAAAACCTTCATTATAAATTCACTGGAGTTTTAACCTAATTTGTAGCATTCAGTTATGAATGTGTCACTAAGGCCTGTAATAAATCGAGGCACAGTCCCATCTCAACAGAAAGCACATGTGTATCATCATCATCATGTTTCCCTTGGAACTGAAGTACAAGTAATAATGATCAGTTTTTTAAAAATCCACAGATGTGCCCTTTAATGACACATTAAGAAGCTGCTATTTTCCAAAGTATGTTGGTAAGTTTTTTTAAAAGCAAACACAATATATATGTATTCAATGCATGTTTAATCTGTATTCACTAAAGGTGCTTAATTTTAGATTGCAGAGCTGTTTTTCTCAGTTCTGTGAAAGTGAAAAGATATTTAGGAAAGAAAAAACGTTCATTTTTGGAAAATTAATTATCTAATAAACTCAGTAATTTCTGTTTAATTAAAGGTGAAATTATAGCTGTCACAAACTATTTTTTTCCTATGAATTTTGCACTGGAAAAAATACAAAAAATATTCACTAACAATGAATGTTCACTTCTATAAAACAATGATATATATGCTTCACAATTTATTTTATTACTTTAAATGGAGAATAAAATATACAGTAAAAATTTTTCTGATTCTTTTTTGCTTGGCCTTATAGAAGTTTGTGTGGTTATTGCTTTAGATTGAGCAACACAATCAGAAGCCCTGGTGTTAATTATGTTGAAGAACCATAGTTAAGGTCAGATATGGAAATAAAAACCTTACATGAAAATATACAATATAAAAAATAAGGAAAATAAATGACAAGAAGCATGTACCCAGCATTTATCTGAAGCAGCTATATTGAGAATGTCGGAGATGATGACTAAATGATCTTTTGAATTACTAAGATTAAATATAGCGCAGAAGCATTAGGAAAGGTTTGCAAGATTTCCATTATTGTGACACTTCCCCATTATTCTGAATGTTTCACAAAATGCCAGCAACAATTATTTGCATGAAATTCTAAACACAGAGTACCAGAAAAAGAAAAAAAATATTGGGCACCTCCCATATACATAGTAACTAAACATTAAGCTAATGTCTTAAAAACAAGTATTTATTTAAGGTGAACTTAAGCAGTTAAAAAGGCCTTCATGATAGCTTGAGTTTTTATGTCTAGATATATAAATCCACACCTACAGGAAAGAAATAAAACACCAAATACTTTGCATAAAACTTTCTACTGACATATCTCTTAAGTCTTCGCTGCTGGAATGAGTTTACTCATTAGATGCAGAAAAAATCATTAGGAACTCTACCTCCAATTTATTTTTTTTCTCAACTGCACATGTACTTGGATTTAACAATTACATAACTTTTACAATGAGGTTTAAAAGAAAGAAAATATGTTATTATAAAACAAGTACACTTGGAAAACAGTTGACCGTTGAACAATGCTGGCACTAACTCGTGTATAACTTGTGTCAATAGTTAGCCCTCCATATCCCCAGTTCCTCTGCAGATTCAACTAACCATGGACAGTGTAGTACTGTGATATTTACTGTTGAAAAATATCCTCATAAAAGTGGACCTGCGCAGTTCAAACCCATGTTGTTCAAGGGTCAACTGTAGTATATGTTTTGAAGGATTGATTGAAGATTTGTCTTAATCGTTTCAAAGTGTCAGCTTAAC